CAGGGACCAAGTATAGTCCCTAAGGTTACAACTCTATGATTCACCCAGACACAACCAGAAGTGTGTTTTACTAATGTGACTCCCAAGGAAATGAAGTCAACGATCAAAGTTAACCATCACAATAGGCAAAAATTTTCTGTGTCTCTCCTCATCTCCCCAGTGCCAATACATTAAGACTAAAACTTTTGAAGCTGGATAGGTGTTGTAGAGCCCCGTAATCTCAGCACACTGAGAGCCTGAGGGAGGAAGATCACAAGTCCAAGCCTAACCTTGGATATTTAGTGAGATGCTGCCTCAAAATAAAACATAAAAAAGGCTGAGGGATGAAGCTCAGGGTGAAGGTTCTGGGTTCAATCTCCAGTGCCCAGAAATTAATTAAAAAGAAAAGGCTGAGGATGCAAAGGCCCTAGGTTCATTCTTCAGTACCACAAAAAATAAAAAATAAAAAAAAAAAATAAAACCTTTGTGCCAGGTATGTAGCTCTGTGGTAGAGCACTTGCGTAGCATTCACAGGGGCCTGCAGACAATCCCCAGTACCACAAAAAAATTTTTTTAAAGTAAAACTTTCACTATAGTTAATGTCCCAGTCAAAACTCATGTTGAAATATAGTCTGCATTGTGAGATATTAAGAGATGAGGCCTTTAAAGGACAATGAATGGATTAATTCATTCAAGGATTAGTGGGCTACGGAAGGAGTGATTTCCTTCACAGCTGTACTGGCTGGTTCTGTCCCACCCTGTGATCCCCTGCACCACCTGGGACTCTGCAGAATCCCCACAGGCAAGAAGGATCTCTCTAGAGACAGCTCCTTGACTTAGGTCTTCTCAACCTTGGGAACTGTAAGGAATCGATTTCTTTCTTGATAAATTACCCAGTCTATTGTATTCAGTTATAGCAACAGACAATGAACTAAGACAGCCCTGATATAGAGTGAAAGTGTCCTGCCAGGGCGCTGCTTGGCACCAATGGGATTACCCACTCCTCTCACTCTGATCTCCATGTGATTCCTTGCTCCTTTTTCCGGCAGAGGGAGGAGAGGAGCTCTCTCCCAGGGGACCTTCTCTATGGCAAACATCCACCACTCTATTTCTTTTTTCCTCCTGTCCTATCATTACTTTTGTCTTTCCAGCAGACTTTACGTTCCTTGACAAAGGGCCTGTGTTATTTCACAGCTTAACTGCAGTTTCTTTGTGAAATTTTGTGGTAAATGACTAAAACCTCCCACTCATCATAACCTCTTTTGTGCTTTTTCTGGGTAATCCTTCTCAGAGATCTTCCCTCACTCCTAGGTGTAAGTATTTTATTGTATCTTTTCTTTACTACCAAATGATCCCAGGGTATGATTGCATTTCAAGTCTACTGTTAGTGGGTAAGGGGTGAGTTCTTCTGCCTCTGTTTTTTTCCTAACATAACTTTAGAATGACAAATAAAAAGGTCTCCAGTTTTAAAGTTAAGAAATCATCATAGATGACAACAATTTTGCTACTGTTCTCTTTTTAATTCTCTTTAAAATAAAATTTAAAAAAAGAAAAGCAAATCTTCAACTGCATTATCTCCTATAACTTTATATACACTCCATCTGGGTTTCAATTCAGATTTGCAATGAGCATTCACATATCAAAACTCTGAGGACTTGCCGTAAAGCAGGTTCTCAAACTTTTAAAAAATGTTTTTATTTTACAGTCTGGGTGATGAAACCCAGGGTATCAAACGCGCTGGACAAGCGCTTTACTATCTACATGGGTATATTCCTGTCCCCTGGGTCCTCTTTCTGCTTCCTCTCTGACAAGGGTTGATGTCTTTGTCATTTTCCCAATCCTGGGCCACAGCTTAAAAGGAGGAGAGGTGCATTTTGGCTCACAGATTCTGTCCATGGTTCCAAGGCAGATGCAGGATGGCAGAGGGGGATGGGAGAGAGAGGAAGGTACTCATCCCCAGGCAGCCAGAAAGCAGAGAGAGAAAGGAGGAGCTGGGGACAAGAACACACCATTCCAGGGCACACCTTCCATGACCCATGTTATGACTTATATCTAGATGTCATCCCAAGCCTCATAGGTGAGGCTTTTGGGAGGTGACTGGATCATGGGTGTGTGATACTGGATTATCCCAATGATTGGTTTAGCATGGTTCCAGGAGTGGGTAACAAATCTACCAAACAGGGAAGACCCACAGTGGGTGTGGGTGACACCAACAAGTAGGCTTGTGTACTGGATAGGGTAGGAAGGAAAAGGAGGAGGAAGTCTGGCAGCTTTTTGCCGGCTGTACATGAACTCTTTCTCCTCTGCCATGCCGCCCTGCCTTGGAACCAGCCAATTATGGACTGAAACCTCTACAAACTGTGAGCTAAAATAAACCTCACCTTCTTTAACTTGTGGGTGTTGGCTATTTTGTCCCAGCAATGAAAAAGTAACTAAGGCAGCCCACCTCCAACCAGGCCCCCGCTTCGCAATAGCAAGTCCAGCCACTGTACTTATCAATTGAAGAATCTTCTGATAACTACAGTGTTCCCATGACCAATCTCCTTCCAAAAACATGAAGTTTCCAGTGATATTTTAGATCTAAACCATAACGGTTCCTCAGCTCTCCTCTGCTATCTTTGCACCATGCCATTTTTGCATTGAAGCAGCCAACTATGGACTAAACCCACTACAAACTGGGAGCCAAATAAACCTCTCCTCCTCTACATTGTAGGCACTGGGCATATTGTCCAGGAAAAGTCAAGAAAGTGACTGAGGAATCCCCAGATACTCCAATTATATGGGTTACATCTATCAACACTTACCATGTTAGAAATAAGTTCAGTTGTGGGGACACACATCTGTAACCCCAGATATGGTGGAGGCTGAGGGTGGAAGACCACAAGTTCATACCTAGCCAAATTAGCAACACTCTTTCCAAAAAATAAGGTAAAAGAGTGCTTACATAGGGAAAGGAAGGAAGCAAGAAGAAAAAGAAAAGAAAAAAAAGAAACAGAGAGAGAAAAGAGGGAGGGAGGAAGAATTAAAACTGAGAAAATTATAAATTATTATCCTATTTAAAAATAACAATACAAGTCTCATTGCACATTATCTTAGAAAGACTCCAATCAGGAGGCAGCTATCACACTAATTATTGTTAGAGGCTGGATATGGTAGAACAGGCCTATGATCCCAGCACTCTGGGAGACTAAGGCAGAAGGATCACAAGTTTGACCACCCCGTTAAGCAATTTAGCGAGGCTCTATCTCATAGTAAAAACTGAAAGAAAAAAAAAAAAAAACCTGGAGAAGTAGCTCATTATAAAGGCTCTGGGTTCAATCCCCAGTACCACAGGGGGAAAGAAAGAATTATTAGGTAGTAGAATATGGCTAACTGCCAAAAAAAAGTAAAAAGGAACTGCAAATTTTCCAGCAATACCAGGAAAAAAGATCATTGCTAGCCAGGATTGGTGGTACCAGCTAGTTGTGAGGCTGAGGCAGGAAGATCTTCAAGTTTGAGGACAGCTTGGGCAATGTGGGCAAGAAAAAAGTGCCAGAGTATGCAAGAGGCAAGAGAAAGTCCCTCACCAGATGCAACCCTTCAATTTTGGACATCTCAACCTCCAGAGCTGTAAGCCAAGTTAAATTTCTGTTCATTATAAACTGCCTAGTTAGTGATATTGTTATAAGCAGCAAGAAAAGACAATTGTGCACTCTCTCTGCAGGAAGAGGGGACAGTAAGAGAGACTGAGAGAGGACCCTTCCTCAGCGCTGAGAGTCAGCTACCTCAAACAGAGGCTGCAGCAAGAGGCCTGCCAGAGGGAAAGGCCCACTGAGGGTGGGGAAAGGGTGGCCTGGGGTGTCCCTGGAGTTCAGCTGCCCTGGGGAATCGGGAAGGCCAAGAACCAGCAGCCCAGCTCCATAGTGTCAGTTCAGTGCCCTCTATTGATAATGCTCAGTATTTCATCGCTGATAAGTTTTCAGGTCACAATCCACTGTACTATCACAGAGAAAGTTCAGTATGTAACTGAGAGATGAGAAATCAATAACTAGCACCCACATGGCCAACATTTTATAATAGTTCATAAATAATTTTAATGAAAAATAATCAAAAATTCCCTCCACAGTAGGGAGGATAACGTTGTACATCGTTGCAAATTATCTTCAGTGTCTGGGTTAGCACAGGGCAGTTGCATGGCATGGACTCTGCATTCAGTCTGTTGCAATGCGTTGGTCTGGTTCAAGTACTGAATTTGAAGGAAATCTGATTTGACATAGGTACATGCTTGGAAAGCACAAGAGTATTTTGATAGCTTTTTCAGATTGTTACAGAACTTCTTTCTCATGCTACAACAAATTTTAACAAGTGGTAGTCTTTTAAAGGTGAATTGTAATGTGGAAAGTGAAATCAGATGAGTTAACTTTTCATGCTTTGATACTTAGAGACTTTTGATTACATCAGACCTCTTCCAGTGAATCTTTTATTTTGCATGACTTTATCATACCATGCAGGTTTTTGGAAAATACTGGTTCACTGTTTTTCAGGTCTTCCAAGTGTTGACATATATCCTTATGCAATATCAAAAGTCAAATAGTAGTCATCTCTTATGATTTATATGTAGACAACCCCCCAAAGCCTCAGGTGTTATGGGTGGGGCTTTGGGGTGGTGATTGGATCATAGGGGCGTCACACTTGTCAGTGTCCAGGATTAGTCCATGAATGACTTTTTAGCTGACCTTCCGCTAAGAGGCAGGAATCACTTTGTATACTTGTCTTGTTTCTCCTAGTAAGTCCAGCATAATCCCAAGCATAACCTAAGCCCTCAGGAATTGGACAAAACATATAACAAACCTAACATACTGAACATCCTTGAGATGAAATAAAATCTAAACTAAAAATTACAGGCATTAATTTCTCACCTTGTTTCCAACTAGCATCCTACTAGGACGCTCTTATAAACTCTTATACGCTTTACCTGCCCTTTTGGATTAGGGCTTTAATATTCCGTGAATAAGATGATGCATCACAACTTACAAGATAAAGACAATACAAAACCCAAAATATTTATTTAAAAATGAAGTCTGACAAAAGTTTAACAACTTATCAATATATAAACAAATACAATTCTATGTTAAATCTAGTATATTTTGAAAGAGCTTTTAACTGACAATGAATATGCAAATTTCACTAAATTACTGATTTTTTAAAATTGGAAATTTTCCCTTAATTAAATTTGGTTATGTGAACAAAAGCAGCACACTGGACAAGCTATAGTTTCAGGCTCATGTGGGATTAGGCCTACTTTCAACAATTACTAGAATCTTCTTTTCAAGAAAGTCCTCACATTAACGTATGTTTGATACTGTGTGATAGACTAGACAGGACCACATATCCGGCATTGTCAAAGCAGCACATACCAGCACTAAACACAACACTGAAAACTTATTTCCTTTAAAACTCCAGTAAGTAATTCCAAGCAGTACAACAAAATACTAAAAGCTCCCAATATTCATCCTAAGGATTAGACAGTTTTCTTTGATTTTTTCTTCTCTGCTTCTTCCTTTTCCTTTTCTAGTTCACTGACTTGTAACTCAATTTCTTTGGCACTAAACATCTGGAGAAAAGGAAAAAAAATTTAAAGCAAATTTTGTTACACCAATATCTAAATGATGACAATATGAAGAAATCTCTTTTATAAATTTATATTTTCTATTCATAACTTTGTTTTATAACTTCAAGTATACAATAAAATGTTTCAAAAGCAACACGCTTGTAATAATCATGGACAAAACCAGACCTCTAACTTTTCTATTATCATTGTATTATACAACAAAGCTGAGTAAAATGTGATACTAAATTATACATCCTGTGTATGCATCTAACTCTCAAAATACTTTAATGCATGGCATATTATTATTCATGAGCAAAGACCACATTATTAAACCCCCACTTTGCCCTATAAGGTGCTTCTCTGATAGGGTTTGAATATGTTCCAGTAGCTCACAGAATACACAAAACAGATGGGAAAAGATGATTTACACTGCGTTTTTGTTTCCTTCACTAAGCAGAAAGTAAAGAGAGCTTTTTCTTCTAAGAATTTGCAAACATAATTTTGATTTGCAATTTTACTGCTCACAACTAGATCCAAGAATATATAATTGATGCTTTAGAACCATTTAACTGAAGATACTTATATAGAGAGATCTAAATTTAATTATCTTAATAATGAAAGAGACAGCAAGAAAACTGATAAAGGAATAAGCAACTTTTTTTTTTCTTTTTTTTTTTTTTCCGTTTTTCTCTGGTACCGGGAACCGAACTCATGACCTTGCGCTTGCCAGGCAGGCGCTTTGCCGGTGAGCTAAATCCCCAGCCCCTAAGCAACTTTATGACAAGTCAAACTTTGAAAGATGATAGGGAAGGAAGAGATTTTAGCAATTTAGTCTACCTATTACCAGTTTTATATATAAGGAAGTTGAGGTTCATAAAACTAATTTATTTGGCCTCAAATTGAAGAGGGTTTAAAAATTAAGACTCTGTCTCCTGATTTAACTCCAGAACTTTTCCATTTCAAAAATAAGATGTATACCAGAAAATCTGTATTTGGAAACAATTTACGTGTATTATCTAATACTATGATGTAAATTTACCCGTCAAGCCTTCACTGTTTCATGGGCTCTGAAAATAAAGTGGGACAATACAGTTCTTGCCTTCTAATAAGGAGTCTACAGCTTAGGAAGGAAATCAGACATGTAATAAATCATTGTGTTAAAATAAAAAGTTGAATAAAGTGGTGTGACATTATTGGGCAAGAGTGAAAGATGCCTTCATAAAAATAGGCCTGGTGTCTGAACATTTTGAAATTAAGGAGGTAGCAAGCTGCTATATGCACATAAGTATACAAGTTCCAGTGGCACAAAACAGTTAATAGTGAAATAGAGTGACCCCTGGTTCCCTTCCACTCCCTCCAATCCCCAGCTGACTCTGTTCCTTCGATATTTACCTTCAAATTTCTGCATTATGCTTTCACTGCCATTTCTGTCTCTATTATGTCTCGGACATCACCTCCTGACTTCCTAGTACCTACATCGTGTGTCTTCCTGACTCCCACTTCACCCCTGGTTTCCAAAACTTTTTGATGAATTATCAATGGTCACTCTGTTTCATTTACTATGCTAAGAGCTTCATAACTCAGCCTATAGCTCTAAGAATTTTCTCTCTATTATTTCTAGGATAATTTTAGTTTTCATACTGATTTTCTTTTTTATTATATATAGAATGGAACTTACACACTGATATTCAGTTATCTTTTATTATCTTTAGATCTTCATGCTTTATTTTCTGTAAGATTTCCTTGGTTTCATTTTTTATTCTCATCTTTTTGCTGAATTTTTCATTCTGGCCATAATAGTCTTATTTTTCAAAAGAGCACTTTGGACTCTCTGAATGTTTCTTTTTAAAAATATTCTCTCTCTCTCTCTCTCTCTCTCTCTCTCTCTCTCTCTCTCTAGTTAGCTATTAATCACAGATTTTAGTTTTGTAAAAGATTTCTTCTGGGTCCTACAATACATGTTATTGCTAGGTTCTTTTTCTGTTTTAGTTTAGTGTTCATAATGCCTGAATATCCTCGGCTAAACTTTCATATTTATGTTTCAGAGTGAGGCACTGTAAAGTGAACTAGAAATTCTGGAGAGAATATAGTGGAGGGAGTCAACTAATGGGCTGTCTACTTGGTTATCATGTGGTGGGGTAAGATATGTCTTCTAACTGGGGAAAATTTAGTTACTTTAGGCTTTTATCTATTACTTTAGGCTTTTTTTAGAAAAAAAAAACTGATATTATGCTATGAATTAAGTGTTTCTTTGCTTTCAGAATTCCTATGTGAAATCTTAACATCCAAAGTGATGGTATTAGGAGGTAAGGCCATTGGGATTTGACATACAGCCTCTCTCTCTCTCTCTCTCTCTCTCTCTCTCTCTTTCTCTCTCTCTCTCTGTCTGTCTGTGTCTATCTATCTATCTATCTATCTATCTATCTATCTATCTATCTATCTCTATCTCTATCTTCCTCCCTCTCTCCCTCCCTCCCTCTCACTCTTTCTCTCTGTCTCCCTGTCTCCATCCTTCCCTCTCTCCCTCCCTCTACAGCCCTATAACCCTCCTGGCTCCTTGTGAAGAAATAAGATGGGCTTTTTCCTGAACCAGGAAGAAAACCATCACTATACCTGATCATGTTGGCATCTAATCATTGACTCTTAGTTTTTGTTTTTGTTTTTTTGTTTTGTTTTGTTTTGTTTTTTATTTTGGTTTTTCTCTGGTACCAGGAACTGAACTCACGACCTTGCGCTTGCCAGGCAGGCGCTTTGCCGCTGAGCTAAATCCCCAGCCCCTGACTCTTAGTTTTGAGAGCTTGAGAAATAAATGTTTAGTTTTTAAACCAATTGATAGTATTTTGTTATAGCAGCCCCAAAACTAAGTAAGTTATTTAGTGTCTCTAGATAAGAAAATAATATGTTCAGAAACAGCATAAACCAGGCCGCAAGGTCTGCTTAGTCATCACTGGCCCCTGGTACAGGAGGGAAGGGGTAGTCAAGCTGGCTCCATGGGATGCAGAGGGAAATCTGAGGGAGGCTTTGCATGGAAGAAACAGAAATCTGTTTCTGCCCTATAACTCTACTCTATCTCATCTCCATGTTTGTCATTTATAACTGGTTCCAGCAAATCCTAGGGGTTTTTTTCCCTGAAATTTGCTTATTATCATTAACCCCTATGTAAGCACAAAAATTTCTTTTAAATTTGCTTTATCAACACTCACCTTCCGATTTTTTGGAGGGGTACTGGGGACTGACCCCAGGGTCTTTGCACTGAGGTATATCCCCAGCCCTTCTTTTGTGTTTTGGGATGGGGTCTCACTAAGTCAGAAGTTTCCCAGGCTGGGCCCAAATTTGCAATCTTTCTGCTTCAGAATCCCGGAGTAGAGTCCCGGCCTAATAGGTGTGGCCACCATACTGGGCATCTGCATCCAATCTCTAAGAATCGTTAACACTGCTCATCCTCCACTTTTTAGGTGGCTTATATATTTTTTCTCTTGTTCTCTTTACATCTTTGACTTAAACTTTTTTCCTCTTTTCTCTGTTTTCTCTTTTCCCACTCTTTTTCTCTGGTCATTATGGAATCCTGGCCTGATGTGAAGGACCAAGTTTTCAAGCCAAGGGTAGTCTTGCCTCTTAGGCCCACCATGCACTAGCTGTGTGACAGTGAATGAACTGTACAGCCTCTTTACACTTCAGTGCCCTTAAAGTTAGAAGAAATACAGTTCACTTAAATTCAATGTACCTGAATTTAAGCAGATACGATACTGTTTATGTCTTATGCACACGGATACAGCAGAACTGACAAGGCTAGGTCTGTAAACTACCCCACCTCTGAAATCAGTTTAAGAACAAGTGCCCCATCATGATAATAGAAGGTTTATACTACTGCATGCATTTATTATTATGTGTTTTCCTAAGTTACTAATGTAATGCTTACTATAACTGTAAGTGGAAAGGCTATTATTCTACAGATAAGGAAACAACAGCATAAAATTCAGTAGTTTTCTTACACTGGGCGGTGGTGGCGCTAGACTTGCACTAGGGTGGCTCTCGTGTTCCACTTTTAATCACTGAACTATGTCCCACACAAGGATTTAACAAAACAATGAATATAACAGAATTTACATTATTTTCATGAGGAATCCATGGAGACAATAACAAAAACAAATCACTTTTCTAAGATACACTAATGAAAATTTTATGAAGAAAAAAAATTATGTCTGGATATATGTTGACACTCCTTGGCAAAACTGGTTTTACCAAACCAGAACTAGATCTGACTCTGAAGACACCTGAAAACCTCCTAGAGGCTACCTTAAGGCTGATTCCCCAAACATCCATTCTATCCTGGATGCTTCGCGTTAGTTAACCCTCAAGCAAAATCCTCCGGAGACTGTTCTGAGGGTGTCTTCAGTCTCCCAGTCAGCAAGCCAGAAGGAGAGGCTTGCATTCCACATTTGGGAAAGCACTCTCCCGCTACAAGAAATTATTCGGGAACTCAGTCTTACAGGAACAGACTGCCATGGGTGAAGCCACAGGTAAGACTGGCAGAGTGGAGCGACAGGAGAAGCACACACACACGGGGACACCACGCGACGTGATATACACGTGCCAGGAGCAGGCTTATACCTTCACTGAGACAGAAAGATTGCTTATGTTTAAGCAGCATGCGTTGGAGGCCTTTTGTTTTTTTAAACTTGTAGATAAAACCATTCACTCTAACCCACTATATGTCCACTTTCCTTCATTTCTTCCTGGGTTCATAGGACCTGGTAACATTTTTCCAGTAAGAATTTTCTATTTCCTGTAAGGCGTATACCCAAAATGTCAATCTGATCTTTAAAGAACCAGTGAGAGGCAATGGAGAAAGAGGGGAGGGTACTTAACGCCACTTCTTACAGGCTCTCCCCTCTTCATGTTTTGGTAGCCTAAGAGTGTAGAAAAAGATAAGTTTTGTAATCATAGTTACAGAAAGTCACACTGTTTGTATAAGATCTACATCCTTTTTTTAAAGAAAGTTTCCCTTTAGAGTAAAAACATACAGCAGCTGCTTTTAGCCATAATTAATGATGCTCAAACTGACCAAACTCGGTGTCCTGTGTATATATATGCACACATATATACAGACATATTATATCTTCTCTCATTTAAAGGTAAAATGAATAACAGTACTATTTAATGAGCAACTACTATATAGTGTACTACTACTGACTTATTACAAAAACCCTTTGAGGTAGTTATTGTTAGCCTCAGTTTTGCACAAGAAAACTAAAGATAACAATACCTTGTTCAACATCATCCTGTACAACAAACAACTCTACGGGCACTTAAAACAAGTTTATTCAACTCTAAACTTACACCCAGTCTACAACTTTAAATCTTTTTCTCTACTCTCTACACAGCCTACCCTGAACTCTCATGTAGAATGACGGTTTACCTTAGCTGCTGGTTCACATGCCATCCACCACTCATTAGAAGGAACACATGCATAATTGCATATGTCTGTGTATGTATGTCCGTCATGTGAGTATGTGTCCACATGATAGAGGTAACTCTGGCTTCAGGAGTTTCAGGGACCCTGTGGTGTTGGTGCATATGTCCCTAAGTCTTTGGCGGCAAGTACGACAACTGAGCCCAGTACCCGTATCTCTGCACTGTGTGATCACACCCTGTTGTTTATGGGTGGCTGCTCATGGGACAGGCCTCACCACCCTGCGCCATTTCTCATATTTGTAGAAATGTTGCTGCATTCTATCCTCACATCCCATCTGTTAGCTAAACAATATAAGGTAGAAAAGTAGCATCTAAACAATGACAACAAAGACCCCAAGTGAACATCCCTCCTGCTCTGGACGGCGCTCATTTTAACACTATTTCTCCTTAAAATATTTTCTTTAAGTGGCATGATGGTGCATTCCTATAATCTCAGCACCTTGGGGTGCTGAGGAAGAGGATAACAAATGCAAGCCTAGCCGGGGCAACTCAGTGACTTAGTGAGACCCTATCACAAAATAAAAAATGAAAAGGGCTGGGGATGTGGCTTTGTACAAAGTTTCTGAATTTACTCCCCCATGCCATAGAAGGAGAGGAGAGGAGAGAGAAAAAGAGAGAGAGAGATTGATTTTCATTAAAACCAATAAAAAGTATATGTACATGATTTGAGTGCTTTAGTACATTCTCAACTACAGAGTACTAATTAGAAACCAGACTCTACACAGTTCTACCTAAAACAACAGCAAACCATTTTAAATGATTGTTGGCCAACCTATATCCTAATATTCTGAGTAGTTAATTTTGTAGTCTGGCAATTTTAATCCTAATGGTAAAAAAAGGCACCCAAATGTTAGATTGGTCACAAAGAAAAGTTATCATGCTTGGGATTAAAATGTAAGTCTGACAGATGCTCAGGGCATTTTCAAGTGAAAAGTAGAGAAAACGGATCAAAATCAGCAGACAGGGGCTGGGGCTTCAGCTCAGTGGTAAAGTGTGTGTTTAGCATGTTCAAGGCCTTCTGTCTGATTCCTACTACCACCAAAAACAAACAAACAAAAAATCAGTCAGAAAGGAGTGCAGACCTCTGATATAAAGAAGGATACAAGCTGGAGGACAAACAATTACATAAAAATGCCAGCTGACTCAAACTGCCTGGAAGCATACCTTGGTTTCAGAAGACCTAAAAGAACAGGAAGAATAATTGCCCTCTATGCGGTGCCAACAATGAATTTCCATGGGGCTATACTACATTGACCCAACAGAAGACTGACTAATTAGGTATGCCTCCTTATAGCAAAATATGCTAAACAAGTAGGCCTATACAGAAATTGCAGCACTTCCAAGTATTCACAAAGAGACAGGGATTGGTAGCTGCCTGAAATAAGCACATACAAATTAGTGTTCATTAACCTACAGAAACAAAAGTCATCATGTTATCAATGAGTATGAATGGATCTCTCATGCTTATAATGAAGATTTACAGGTATCAGTAACATTTCAACTTTTGTAAAAAGATGCCATGTATTCTTTTCTCTCTCGTTAATGACTTACCTTCAAAGGTTGATTTCTTCTTATTATAGCCAGTTCAATGTTCTTCCCACCAGACTGCACAACCTAATGTAGAACAAGCACACATCAGAACTGCTTAAGCCGGCTCAAGGTGTAGCTCAGTGGTAAGTGTGCCTAACATGCACAGAAGATTACTTCTTCAACAAAGTCTGTGTTGAATAAATAAAAGTGGATAAGGAAAGTAACCCATGCTTTTATGAATGTGTCCATCACTTACTTCAAGCAATGCTCTTATTGCTAACTTGATAGCTTCATTGTCATTTGATATAGCATCTTCTGTGTAATTCTTTTCTAGAAATTCTCGAACAGTCTTAGCACTTCGGCCTATTGCATTTGCCTTGAAAAATTAAAAAACACCATAAATGTCACTGTAATGTGAAAGAATGTATGGTTACTAAGTAAAATTAGGATTTTGGACTTAAAATATTTCCTAATAGAATTACAAAGTGGAAATTATTGAACTGAAAACTTAACAAACATTTCAGAAACTTACTTGATTACTATGTGAATAATCTGAGATGGCAACACAAATTTTTTATTTGCACAAATACCAGTGCTTTTTCCTGGTTAATGATTTCTATTAGTTTAAAGACTCCCAAGTCCTGTACAACCGAGAAAGACTGAAAAATTTGAAACTCCAAAAGATGAGAAGAAGAAAGGAGGCACAACTTTCCAAGAATATGAAAAGAGGAGCAGAGAGGAGAAAAGAGGGGAGGGGAGAGGAGGAGAGGAACGGAGAGGAGATCATGTCAAGATAAAAAAATCTATTTACATAAATAGAACTGAGCATTAATTTCTTAGGATGATAAGTAGGTGGTCACCTAAGTATTGATTCATTATCTTTTACTCTGTAAGCAAGAAGGATTTCTAGTCCATTCCCTGTTTTCTTTACTCTTCAGAAATTTTCACCCAATAAAAGAAAGAGGCAAATGGTTTCACACGGTTGCATGGGTACAGGTAGCAGACCATGTTCTTTTCATTCAGACTAAATATCCAAATTACTATAACTGATGTGAGGCAGATAATTCATACAAGGATTGGCCAAAACATATAGTGGATGCTTACATTAAAAAATATATTACAGCAGAAGAGATGTTGCCGTTAATCCCCTACAAAGTAATCCCCCTTGCTTTGAACACACTTATGCCATCTTTTTTGTCACTTTCTGAAACAGTATTAGAAGACCTTTCGTGTCTTTATGAGGTGTGATTAAAAAATATGGTGAATACTGTTGTTAAATGCCATCTAACAGAAAGGCAGGTTCATAAAAGCCTTACGGTTTTTCCTCACTCACCTTCTTCATTGGGTGCAGATATGTGAGACTTCTGCCTCTTCCCTAAAGTCAAAATGACTATGAAAAGAAATATTTTAAAATGATTCAGGAAATTTAGGCTGCCATGCCAGTGCAACTAAAGATATTCCCAAAAAAGGTCTTCTAGAACTGCTTCAATAAGTGGCAAGCATGATGGGATAAGTGTGTTTGAAGTGAGAGGAATTATTTTGAGAGTGATTAATGGCAATGTCTATTTTACTGTAAGATTTTTTTAAAAGCTACTCACTGTATTTTTCAATCACATCTCATATTAACAGAATATTTATGTACCAGGCATTATGCTAATTATTTCAAGTGGGTTAATTCATGGAACCATCATGAAAATGATTAGTCACTATTAGAAACCCCAATTCTGGATGAAGAAATGGAGGCTTGAAAAAGTTAAAGCTGGGTTTCCCAACGTTGTTAACATTTTGGGCCAGGCAATTCTTTGTGGGCTGTTCTGTGAACTGTAAGACATTTGGAAGCCTCTACCAACTAGATTCCCCATCCTACTTTTGAAAATGATGTCTCCAGACACTGGCAAATGGGAAATGTCTCTTAACAGTCCCTATTTGTGAGCTACTGTCTCATGTAATCTTGCTCAAGAGCTGGGCTTTGAAACCATGTGGTCTGGATCAGTAAGCTAAGCACTTAATATGGTACACCTTACTGCCTCATAACCCTCTGCTGTGATGATCCAGACAATGGAAGAACCGGAAGAAAAGCCCATCCTATCACTAGTGGTACCGGGAGGAAAATGTCGCATATAACCATTTAGTATTGTGATTATCATGGGAAAGGGACCTCAAGGATTTTAAGAAGTGGGCATGAAAAGACAGCTTTTGTAGTCATGAGAGTATATTCTCTGGCTAGCAGAAGATTCTTCTTAACATAATATTTTCTATGCTATTAGATTTCAGAGGATGTTATGGCCTGTATCTAGATGTTCCCCCAAAGCCTCATGCAGACATAGGTGAAGCTTTTTCAGAGGTGGCTGGATCTAGATTGTATAATACTGGTATTGATTCATGGTATAGTGCTAGGATCCAGGGCACTAGGATTAAGGATGTGAGTTCTTCCTACCCTAAGTAGCCTGGATAAGATATAAGGGATAGAAAGAGTTGTGGTCGATTCTTGCTTGCTTTGCTACCTTCTGCCCACCATGAACTGTCTCTCTTCTGTGATGCCTGTCTGCTACACCACCCTGCCTTGGAGCCAACTGACTATGGACTGAAACCTCTACAAACTGTGAGCGAAACCTTTGCTCCTTTAACTTTGGGTGTTAGGTATGTTATTTCAGCAATGAGAGAAAAGTAACTAAAATAGAGGATTACAATAGGCAGCTGTGAAACTTGTTAGTAAATTTTGTAGATCTGAAATTTCACTAAAATCAAAAGTAGTCTTCTGCCTGGCATGAATGTGAAGTCCACTTGCCTTGAGGTTGTTTGTTTCTGGTAGCTGATTGCTGCCCAATAAGGAAGCATATAAAGGAATGGTTTATCCAAAAATTTCACCAGGTGTTTAGGTCACCCCCTAAATTCCTGGAGAATTCTCTACTTTCTCTAATTGCTGATGCTGAAATTCTTTAACTCTTACCTAACTACTTTCCTAAAATAGCTGTTCTTGACAAACTCATAATCTCTGCCTCCCATCCCCATCCCCCATCCCAGCCCACTTCAACAAATGATGATAGTTTTGTGGTATTCTTTCTGCCCATCTACTCAGATTGGTAATGGGGTTGTGTGTGTGTGTGTGTGTGTGTGTGTGTGTGTGTGTACTAGTAGCTGCCATCCTCAATATCCATTCTTCCTCTGTGACAGAACTCTAACCAATGCGCTGAAAATGTCATTTCTTAATCTCTGTTACAAATACATGTACATGAACATAAGTCATTGGAGAGAGCCTCTATGAATCAGCTTCTAGAATGCGCACCTGATGGCCGGAGATCTAGCAGATACCTTCAGGGCATGGGGTAAAACTACAAATAGAAGACACAAGGTCTAACATCTCAACACTTCCATTATGTGATAAAAATCAATCCTTGTGTGGTACTGTCAAGGCTTTCCTGCCCAAAAACTTAGCTCACTGATATACCCCTGAGATTAAACCTGTGATGTGATGCCACATATAATTTCAGAAATTCCTGAAACTGCTACCCATGGTTGCAAATGCCTCTAATCCCAGCACTAAAAGGGCAAAGCAAGAGGACTGCAAGTTCCACCTCAACCTGAACAATTAAAGCAAGATCCTGTCTCAAAAAAAAAAAACTTTAAAGAGCAGGAAGTGGGCTCAGTTTGTAGGCTCTGAGTTCAATTCTCACTACCACAAAGAAAGAAAAGAAGGGAGGGAGGGCTTCCTGTAGCTGATGCAAGTGCCAATGGTAGGCAGACCTAAGTTCTTAAACCTCTTTGGGAGATCGTGTGATTAACAAGAATGGCCTCATGTCAGGGAAGTGTGTTTCAGGGGCAGCCTCCATCTCAACTTGGAAAACCTGAAGATTCACCACAGATCCAGAGCTTCTTGTGGGGTCATCTGAGGCCTTCAGACAGATTGGACCTTAGCACAACTGCTCCCTCTGTCTTTCAACATATGCTGATACCAACAGCATTTTCTAATACCATTACTAAAAATAATCTCTATCTAAAAGTCAGATATCTAAAATTTAGATATCTAAAATTTCTATCTTGAAATTTATTTTTTGATTTTTTTTAAATTTTTTTTTTTGGTACTGGGAATTGAACTCAGGACCTTGCACTTGCCAGGCAGGTGCTTATGCCACTGAGCTACATCACCAGCCCATCTATAATGAAATTTAACTTGTAGTAATCTTTCAAAGTCTAGAAATTACTTTTTTCTTTTCTGTCCTCCCCTTCCTGTTGGGGATCAGTTTGCATAAGGGATAAGTTGCTGCCGAGAGTGCTCTGAAGACAGCATAACCCCCCAGCTAGCACAGCTATGGGAGGCAAAGAGACAAGCTCTTACTCCCTATTCCACAGCAATAAACCGCCGACCTTAGAGATCAAGTAGTTCTCTTAATTAGCAAGATTTATTGCCTTTGCTCTAACTTCTCAAGGCCCTGCTCATTTTTGTGAGCTTTTGTCTCAGATGCGCCCTCTACCTCCTGCACCCCTTGAATTGTGAAAGAGTCAATAAATATAAGTGATCCAGAGAAATCCTTGTTTTAGCTCCTAGAGAGTTCTGACTCTGCTGGATTCTCCAAAATCATATTACTTGTTTCTTTTATTTAATCCTTTGCCATAGCTTGTTTTAGGAGGCTGGGGGCTTGGGCCAAGTCCCTGATAACTGGGGCCTGGAACAGGGACCTGAATCCTGAACTGGGACTTTTAAAGCCTGGAAGAGTAAGAACCACTCAGAGTGGGAAAGGTGTGAGACAGAAAAGGACTTCAGAGAAAGTATAATTTTGGGGTCACTTGGAGAAAAGAAGGCGCAAGAAGCCTTCATAAAGAAGATAGGTGAGCACTCCCACTGCAAGTAGCCATGTATTCTTTTATCCTGGAATAAAGCATGGAGCAAATGTATCAGCTGAGGAGCAAAAATACACATAATTGCTCCAAAGCCTGCTTAAATGCTTAGCAGCTCATGTGTCAACAGAAGATTCATTAAAAATGTTATACGAGTAACCAAATGTAATCCATGGTTTCCTCAGGCAGGTGCCATAGATGTTGATAACTGGGAGACAGTTGGAGAAAGTCTTAAACAGGCACATGATAGAGAAAAAATGGTTTCCTCTGAGCGCTTTTCAACTTGGACTTCAGTTCAATCAGTCTTAAATCCATTGTGGAGCTCACAGCCAACAGCTCCTGCTTCAGGCACAGAGAACAACATTGCTCCCAGCAGAGGGTTCCCCCCACAAGGAAGAGCCTGTGTGGGAAAAGCTGACGAGCCAGGCACCAGAGTCTCTACAAAGAAGTCAGTCACCACCACCTGAGGTGTTTGGGGAGGGACCAATTCTAGCTAAAAGGTTGAGGAAAATAAAAACCCACACAAATCAATCTAAACAC